GTTACATTTTTATTTCGTATCTTTAATACTTTGGGGTCTTGAGAAGCACCCGTGTTCGGATCTGCTCAAAAGATCCTTCATTCGCATTACACTCGTACGAACACGCTCAGACATAATATTAGCGACCTCGCTCAACCACAAATAAGGGGCCTAATCACAATGTCAGGGGCTATATTTTGTGTAGTAAAAAAAAAAAAAAAAAAAAATACAGCCTATGTTCTGCTAAGACTTGGTATTTCACTACAATATAAATTTTGTACTCGTATCGTCATAACAACATTACCAAAAAGATTTCCAAAGGCACTTTCACAACTACCACTAGATTCCGAACAAACAACCATCGCTATGGACTAAACTTCACTCCTGCCAGATATCGTTCTGTACTACAACCACCACTAAACTAGACTTCACCAGCACCACTACTACTAGTCATCGCACTGCACTACCACCACAAACGCTTGCCCTTATAAGTAACAAGCAACTCAAACACGAATAAATCTCATCCATGGACTGAAATCCCTCCAACGTTCGCACTCTAATTCTAAGCTATAAAAAAAGTAAACGCGGACATTACATCCATCTTTTTGTAATGTTCTGCCTCTCTTTGTTCTTATTGAAAGCTGTTATCTTTATGTTGGTCTTCCTCCTTTTTTTTATCCTTCTTATCCAATTATTATAATCGTATACTTTATTTTTCTTGTTGTACGAAGATGTCTGTAATATTGTGGTGCTTACCTCTATTTCTCCTCTCTTTCTTTTCTTTTTCAGTGATTACTAGAAACCAGTTAGTGAAATACTAAAGATGAAAAAAAAAAAATATATATATATATATACATATATATATATATATATATATATATATATATATATATATATGCATGTATATTATTCATATATATATATAATATATATAATATATATATATATATATATATATATATATTTTATTTATTTTTTTTTTCAACAGCCATTCATTCCACTGCAGGACATAGGCCTCTCTCAATTCAGTATTGAGAGGTTATATGGCAGTGTCACCCTTGCCTGATTGAATGCCCTTCCTAATCAACCGTGGTTCAGCGCGTTAACACTTGTGCCACGGCGGTGACTTCCCCTACGACACCTGCGTTTGACTTCTCAAGCCGATATGTCGTTTTCTCGTGCTCGAGGTAGCAGTCAGAGCGTAGGCAATTTTACAACTGCCGCGACGGGGAATTGAACCCGGGACCACGAGGGTCGGAGTCAAGTGCTCTAACCACTGAGCTATCGCGGCAGTCAATATATATATATATATATATATATATGTGTGTGTGTGTGTGTGTGTGTGTGTGTGTGTGTGTGTGTGTGTGTGTGTGTGTGTGTGTGTGTGTGGTGTGTTTATACACACATACATTCATGCATATATATACAAATATATATACATATGTATATTTATGCATACATACATACATATATACATTTATGTATATATTTATATATATACACATATGTATGTGTGTGTATATGCGTGCTGTGTGTATATACATACATATGTATACATACACATACATACACATGTATATATGGCAGGGACGAAGCGCTAGACCTGGTCCCTTTTAACCCATTGGCCGCGGTTGGCAAGAATAGATGCCATACCCACTTTGATACACGTTTATTTATTGTATTTACACCTAGATGGCTCTACAAGTTCTTAATCACCAAATAGCCAGTTATCAAGAACTACCTATTTCACCTGTTTAGCCTTTTCCTTCACTTTCGGAAAGGGTTTTTTGTATCATCTTATTGTCAAAAATATTCTAATGACAATTCAATCATCATAACATCAGTAACAATAATAACAGCATAGAAAGCAATGATATTAATTTTCCCGCCAATTCAATGAATGGGAAAATCAGGGTCGGTAACTAGGGCCTACTGATAGACTCCTTGCCGGCTGAGTACATGTGGAGCCATCTGTAGGTAGCAAAATTCACCAAAACCAACAGGGGACAGAACATAAATCCGTGGCCAATGGGTTAAGATGCCTTTCAAGAGAGAAAAAATGTCCATAGTGATTGATCGGTTGGGTTGCGATGTAATAATTAGATTCTCCGTCAGATAAATATTTCAGTGATGTTTAATGACGAGGAGGAGATGAATAAATGAAATAAGTAATAACGATAATAATGATGATAATATAGATAACAAGTATAATAACAACAATAATGATGATGATAATAATGTTGACGGAAATTATGATAATAATGATAGTAGCAATAATAATAACAATAATAGTAATAACAATAAAAGTAAAAACAATAACAAAACAATAAACACACACACACACACACACACACACACACACACACACACACACATATATACATATATATAGATAGATATAGATATATATGTAATTATGATAATTGTATGAATATGAATGTTAATGATAGTAATGAAGAGCATAATAATCATGGTAATAATGGTAACAATAGCAACCCAAATAACAACTTTAACATGGCGG